GGGGGGGGGGTATGGGATTTAGAAACTTCAAGGTTCTTAATGAAACTCTGCTGCCAAACAATTGTGGAAGATCATTACTCAACCTAACCTTTTGGTGAGCAGGGTGAGTAAGGGTAAATACTTTTAGAATAAGTGAATATTTGTTAGGAGTGAGACATAATTTCAAAATTGGTCCTACAATGTGACCACTTTCAAAAAAACCATCCCGATATTGACCACTTTCAAATGAGGTTCTATAATTTGACATTTTTATCAAAGTTGGTCCTTTTTATCCGGAACATGGATTAGAATGTGATTAATAAAGGATCAAAATATCAAATTATAGGACCAAATTTGATTAAAATGTCAAATTATAGGACCATGTTTGAAAGTGGTCAATATCGGGGTATTTTTTTTGGAAAGTGGTCAAATTATAGGACCAATTTTGAAATTATGCCTTAGGTGTGAGGTACCAGGTGGGGAATGAAAGGTTAATTGATGTCTGGAAATCACTATGGCTTCATAATAATAAAAGCTTTTGTCCCATCTTACAGTTTTCTAATGATAAAATAAGAATAAAAAAAGTTTGTGAGCTGTTCAAGAGTAATAATGTTGAGTGGGATGAAGACAGAGTGAAACAAACATTCTCTCCTGAGCAGGTAAATCTTATTTTAAAAATCCTTATAAGCCATGCAGATGCTTATGACAAACTGATTTGGCACTGGCACCCCAAGGGACTGTTAAGTGTGAAAGTGGTGTACAAGTTGTTACTTGAGCAACATATGCAGTCTCAGAAGGCAGCAAGTTCCAGCTCAGGTCACAGGGCAATGCAACACATTTGAAGGAAGACATGGAAGCTGCAGTGAAAAACAAAATCAAGAATTTCATATGGAGATGTTGGTATGGCATTCTCAGCACTAATACTCAATGGTTGCATAGAAATGTTCAAATAGATAGTATCCGCAAGGTTTGTGGGGAAGAGGTGGAAATTTTGGAGCATATATTCTTTAAATGTCAAAGGGCTGTGTATGCTAGAAATTGAGTGGGATTGCGTATCTTGATAAACAGAAGGTAGGAATTCAAGGACTAGTGGGAAAAGCTTTGCTCTGGGAAAAAGACAAATGCTTTCAGGATAGAGTCAACCTCTCAACATACCTATTATGGTGGTTGTGGAGAACACGAAACACCTGGGTGTTTTGAGAGGAAAAGATTGACATATAAAGATATTGTGGATGAAGCTTGGAAAGAATGGAGGGAATTTGAGGAGATATCAGAGGGGAGTGTTTCAAATACTTATGAAGGTGCTGTTGATCTTTTTGAATGAGAGGGAGATGGCTGGGAGAGGGGTAGGGTCGTTGATTCTAACTGTTAGTGCTTTGGGGGTCTGGTAGAATTTGAGTGAAAAGAGCAGTATAAATGGCTGAATTGCAGTAATAAGGCTGGGGACAATAAAGAAAAAACTCTCAAGACAGTGAGATGGGGACTGAAAAATCTCCAAGAGACTGGCCATTCTTCTTCTTCTTCTTCTTCTTCTTCTTCGTCCCTGTGCTGCAGGACAAAATCCTTACAGATTGCTCATATGTTGAACCAGATGACTGGAGCTCGTTGGGGGTGTGATGACTATTGTTGTTGATATTATTCATTTGTAGATTGTTTCTCGGGTTGTAATTTTTGTTTTAATAAGTTTGATTGTACTTCTTCTTTAGCTTTAGCCCTGGAGGCTTGTAAGAGAGCTTAAAGTGGGTTTCTCATGACTTGTTGTTGGTCCATTTGTGTGGGTTAATGTCTAACTTGTGCTCATTTGAGCATCCGATGTATAAACACTGTTTTTGAGTTAATCTTATGGCTCGTTTGTTGTTGAAAAAAAAAAAAAAGATTCGAGCATGCTATAGTTACCATAGTGAATTTGACACATCAATAAACAATACTTTAAATTCTAATAATTTTATTATGGCCGGTAGATTTAATTATTCATATCCACCTAACAAACCCAACTAATTTGTCCCTTTTAACTTTTTTTTCTACCCCAATTTCTCAAAGTATGTAACTTTTTTCTGCTTTCTTATTAGCCCTTTACGTAGCCAATTCGAGTTTTTTGGGCTGGTCAAAGATGAATGTTTTTGAATTAAGAAAAAAAAAAAAAAAATGGAAATGGCTACATGGATTCAAACGTTTCCCATTCATGCAACTGTCGTCAAAATTGAAAAATATATAATTCCACTTAGCCACCTTAGTCAACGGAAATTTTTCTGCCTATTATAATTTATAAGTACCCTTTGTTCTCCTCAATGATAAAAATATGATTGTAGCTTTCAAATAATTAAGGGAAAGATGGGTTCATATAAGAACAAAAATTTTGTAATCACTTTTCATATCTTTTTGCTTCTGTTGATGATGTCTTTAAATGGAGCATATGGTGTTAGAAGTCTACGTGCCCAAAAATGGGAAAGGCAACAAGTCCCATTGCTCGAGTCGTCTCTACCACGAGGCCCGGTGCCACCATCAAGTAGTTCGTCATGCACTTACATACCGGGCCAAGGCGGAGGCCCGTGCCCGTCTATGGAAGCTTCTTCTAAGGCTTCCACGGCCGCCAAAGGTGGTGGCGTTAACTAATTATGATATGAGCAGCTTCTTGAGGACTTGTTCATAGGGGCAAGAAATATATTGTAATTCTTGCACTAGCTAAGTAGTTCAATTCTTTTATTTTTTTATTTTTTGTATTTAATTCTTTCTACTTACATGGATCAACCATTAATGTTTGGGTGTTACCAAGTAAAATAATCACTTTCTGGAAAATAATAAATTCTTCTTACATTTTTCATGGCCGTATTGTTTTTCAAACAAGTGTAAGTAAAGTTGTGCTAAATTGTTCATAATGAAATTCTTTTCAATATTCATAAAAAAACCATTTTAATGATGTCTATTAAAGGCGGATTAGAATTTTCTATTACGTCTCTATAATGCTATTATCCCTTATATATTAACTAGTACAACGCCCGTGTATTACACGGGTGTTTGTTAATTTTTTCTTAAAATTTAAAATTAATGAGAAAAAGTAGTTGAAAATTTAAATATCTTTTATAAATATATTTATATATTATTATATATTTAGTATACACTTTTTATTTGTGCAACTTACATGTGTTATATTATAATAATTTTTTAAACTTACAACATATAACTACATTAAACATAAATATATCAATTGAGAAATAATTTTATTTTTCTAATGAATTCTAATAAATATTATTATTTTTTTATTATTATAAAGATAAATATAATTTATTTATTTCATATATACAATATAGATGTCAAATCAAAGATCATCAAAAGGTGATTAATTTGATATATTATATATGTAAAACCGATAATAAATACAAAAGTTATCAACTTTTAAAATACATTTATAATTCAATAGTTAATTGAAGGAAACAAATCAAAAGTCGGATATATTAGTCACTTAGTGCCTCAGTATGTAAAATTACAAAGAAATAAAGAGTTATATTAGTGCAAGTGATATTAAAATATCTAAGTTAGCTAAATAATATTTATGGAATGTCCAAACCAAAATTATTAATTATTAATATATCAATATTATTTGTCCAAACCTAATTACGAAGCATGATTCTTTGCCAAATAGGATTCTGAAGCACCAGAAGCAGCCACGTAGGCTCAGCGCATTCGGGAATAATATATAGGGAGGATTCAAAATGTGCTGAGCTTAAGTGAAAATTTTGCACGCTTTGAAATCCAGTGTGTCACAATATTATTCTTTGTATTTAGGTTCGGAAAAAAATTTTGGAAATAAAATTTGTTTGAAAAGTGACATAAATAATTTTTCCACCATATATCATTGTCTCTGAAGAGATGAACAATTTTCCATTTTCTAGATCTGAGAGTGAATTTAGGTTTTTCTCCAAACAATTTTTCTTAGCTCATACGAAAAATACAAAATGTCTGGGTATAAAAACCCTCAGCTCACAATGAGGAAGACAATGACATAAGAGTCCTTTCATCATAAAGTCCTAAACACAATGGACAGAAAATAAAACGCGACTTCAAAAGTAAAATACGCCTATCGACTAAAACATAAAAACAGAAAAATAGAAAAGATAGCTCCATGCAGTCCACGTTCAACTTGACCTGCATCCAGTATGGCTCGAAGACAAGACCAAGCTCAACACCCCCCCTCAAGTGGGAATGGGGGAGAAAGCTCGCATGCCCAACTTGCTCAAGAAATAGTGAAACTCACGGCCCCCAAGAGACTTAGTGAAAATGTCTGCAGGTTGAACAGAGGAAGCAATATGCTGAGGATCAATGAAGCCTGCTTTGAACATATCTCGCACAACATGACAGTCGATGTCCAAATGCTTAGTGCGCTCGTGGAAGACTGGATTTGCGATGATATGTAGGGCTGCTTTGTTATCACACCAGAGAGGAATTGGGAGAGAAAGTGATAATTTGAAATCTGCAGCCAAGTAAGAGAGCCATTTAAGTTCACAAACCGTGGTTGCCATAGAACGGTATTCTGCCTCGGCCGAGGATCTAGAAACTGTTTTCTGCTTCTTTGTTTTCCAGAAAATCAGAGACTGCCCGAGGAAGATGCAATATCCAGTAAGGAATCTTCTAGTGAGAGCGCAACTGCCCCAGTCTGCATCACAAAAAGCTTCAAGTTGAGAAGTAGGTTGAGCTTCATAGAAAAGACCCAAGGATGGACAACCCTTGAGGTATCTCACAAGATGAAGTGCTGAGGACCAATGAGCCTTTGTAGGTGAGTGTACAAACTGACTCAATTGCTGAATGGCAAATGAAATGTCAGGTCTAGAAAGGTTTAGATATAGCAGTCTACCAACAAGCCTTCTATAGGCTCCCTCATCTGCCAATGAATCAGTGGTTTGAGCAGAAAGATTAATGCCTTGTGGAAGAGGAGTTATCACTGGCTTCGAGTTAGATAATCCCAAGTCCTCAACAATATCCTTGATGTACTTCCTTTGACTAAGAAAGAGACCATTGCCTGTTTTGATCAACTCTAATCCCAAAAAAAACTTTGCAATCTTAAGATCCTTTATAGTGAACAGTCTATTCAAATAGGATTTCAGAGCAGCAATATCTTCAACATGTGTTCCAGTGATCATCACATCATCAACATAGATCAGTAGGGCCAGAAATCTCCCAGAACTTTGCTTGAGAAACAAGCAATGGTCATGCACAGACTGAACAAAACCATAAGCAATGAGTTTTTCAGAAAACTCAATGTTCCATTGCCTAGAGGCTTGCTTGAGCCCATACAAGCTTCTTTGCAGCAAACAAACCTGATTAGTCTTGGCTTTGGTGTAACCCTTAGGAGGCAGCATGTACACTTCTTCTTCCAAGTAGCCATGGAGAAAGGCATTGTTAATGTCTATATGATGAACTTCCCAATTTTTCTGAGTTGCTAAGGCAAGTAGGAATCTGACTGAAACTAGTTTGGCCACTGGGGAGAAGCTTTCAAAGAAATCTATCCCCTCCTTTTGCAAGTATCCCTTAGCAACTAACCTTGCCTTATAGTTATCTACAGTCCCATCTGAGTTCCTCTTGATTTTGTAGACCCATTTGGATCCTATAGCTTTCTTTCCTGGTGGGAGGGATGTTATGGTCCAAGTTTTATTCAATTCCAAAGATTCAAGTTCCTTTCTCATGGCTTCAACCCATTTCTCCTTCTTAACAGCTTGTTCATAGAAAAGTGGTTCAGATTCTGTCCTTTCCACCTCAGTCATGAAGGAGTGACTCTCCTTAAGAGCTGTGTCATCTACTATAACCAAATCTGTTACATAATCAGATAGCCAAGCTAGTGGTTGCCTCTTTCTTGTTATCCTACTAGATTGAGGAGCAGACTCTGGCTGAGATGATTCTATTGGATCAACAAACTCATGTTCCTCATTTTCTGTCCAGAAATCATGGGCAACTGGTAAGGGAATAGACTGATCTGTAGCCATTTGATTATGAAAAGGAAATTCTGTTTCATGAAATATAACATCTCTTGAGATGAAAACCTCATTGAGATCAAGATCCAACACTCTAAATCCTTTAACACCATTGACATAACCCAAGAAGACACAAGGTGAGGCTTTGGAGTCAAATTTCTTCCTGTGAGGTATGTTTCTTTTTGCATAACACAAACTGCCAAACACTTTGAATCTGTCATAGCTAGGGCTTTGTCCATGTAACAACTCATAAGGAGTCTTCCAATTTAGTACTTCAGTTGGCAAAGAGTTGATAATGTGTACTGCAGCCAAAAGAGTGTAGGGCCATAGATCTCTCCTCAGCTTTGCTTGAAAATAGAGTGCCCTAGCAACTTCAAGTATGCTTCTATGTCTTCTTTCTACCACCCCATTCTGTTGTGGTGAGTAAGAACAAGATCTTTGATGTATAATACCATTCTCCTGTAATAAGCCACTCATATCTTTGTTCACAAACTCTGATCCATTGTCTGTCCTCATTTGTTTGACTGATTTTCCAAACTGAACTTCAATCATTTTAAGGAAGAACTTTATGTTATTGAATGCTTCTGCATTGCTTTTCATCAGAAAAATCCAAGTTGCCCTGGTGAAATCATCTACTATAGTAAGCATGTAGCAAGTGTTAGTAATGGATGGTTCACTGTAGGGCCCCCAAACATCCACATGAATCAGATCAAATTTTTCAACACTTTTGATGCAGCTAGAAGGAAAAGATAGTCTACATTTCTTTGCTCTATGGCAAGTATCACACACATCCAACTTTTGTTCCACACAACTTTTCTGCAAGAAATCAATATGTTTCAAACAAGATAGAGAGCTATGACCTAGCCTTTTGTGCCATTGTTGGAGTTCTTGTCTGTTTGTTGCTCCCTTGTCAACTACACTGAAACTGCAATGCTCCTTATCCATCACATAAAGCCCCCCAAATGCTTTCCCAAAGGTAGTAATAATCTGTCCTCTAGGGTCCTGCAATTTGCACTCCTTATTAGTGAATATGAAACTCACATCTTTGTCTGCAATGAGTTGGCCCACTGATAACAAGTTGAACTTAAAAACAGGCACCAAGAGTACATTTCTCAGTACTATTTCTTCAGATAATTCCACTTCACCAATTTGATGTACCTTGAACTTTGATCCATCAGGCAAGTTCACAACAATAGGATTATCAAGAGAACATAACCTTTTCATCAACTCAGCACAAGAGCAAATGTGCCTAGAGGCACCAGTGTCTATAATCCAACTTTCTTTTTGAGTTCATTTAGTAAGGATAAGGCAAAGCCTTGTGGATGATTACCTGAATAATCCACATAATGTGAAAAGGAGTGAGTTTCTGTTTCCTACTGCTTTGAAATGTACTTGGCAATCTCTCTTATCAGAGAATTCATATTTTGCTTAGGTGTGTCCTCTTCTTGGGATTTGCTATCCACATCACTCTTGTCTGTTTCTGACCCTTCCACCATATTAGCTGCTGAGTTCAACCTTTGCTGTTTCAAATCCTTATACCAGTCTGGAAAGCCATGTATTTTGAAGCAGCTTTGCATGTCATAGCCATTATAGCCACAGTGAGTGCAGAACAATTTGGATTTGTCCTCCTTTGATAGCCTGTTGGCTCCT